AAATTAACGAACTTCGACTACGTCAGGTTGCGAATGTTTGGGACCTAATTTCTATTACCGAAACTTGGTTACATCAAGAGGTGACTGATGCTGAGATTGAGATAGCCGGAATGTCACTCATCCGGAACGACCGCCCCAGCAGAGGAGGTGGGGTCCTACTCTACTACCGCAGCGATCTACAATGAGGTCATCATCTCAAACTGGCTACACACTACAGCCGACTTGATTGTCGACGAAACTCTTTCTCACTCCGTGTGTCCCGTGCTTGGAATGCGCTCCCCACTCACGTCGTCCTTGCTCCCACATTGGCACCATTTAAAAAACGCCTAGATGACACACTTTCCAACTCGCATTATTTGGCATAGCACGTCCTAATTCGGAGGACGAAATAACGAGATCAAACCATGAGGTCACTGACCCTCCCCGCAAAGTGGCGGTGATGTTACATACAGAAGTGTCCCAATGAGCGACATGGATGTATACAAACTGGAGTAACGTACCACATCTCTCAACGGAAGCAACACACGAGTGAGCGTTATCCGCTTTTTGATTTCTTTTTCCCACATTTGCTGTAATATAACAGCTCTACTTTGGGTGCAGACATACAGTCCATACTTCAAACTATCATTATGAAGTGGTGCGTTGAAATCTGTAGAGGCTTAAAAAACGATTTACTTGTTCGATTATCCTTCCATTTTATTTATTGCTCCAACCACCCTACGGGACCTGTCAAGCATATGCTTTTTTACCCGTTATAAATCATTGTTCATTTTTCAATGTACAATAGTTGAGGACCTGGAAACACAAGTTACCGACTCACTCTGGTGCCGTCTCCGACTGAGACACAACGACACATGTCTCCTAGCTATCGTTTACCGCCCCCCAACGTCCACTCCTGAAATTGATTCCTGCTTGACCCGTGGCTTAAACAGAGTAACGCGCACTAGGTACAGCCACATTCTCATCTCCGGGGACTTCAATCTACACAATCTGGAGGTTTCAGCATCGCTAAGTGAGCATTTCAAAGCAGACTTGCAGGAACTGATCGCTAATATTCCTTTGTGCAATCATGTCACCACGCCCACTAGATTCAGGACAGCAAACAAACCGTCCATATTGGACCTTGTGCTCACAAATGAAGAGCTCATGCTTGAGACGTTATTGATGGATAGTCCATTAGGTCTCAGTGACCACGTAGTAATAACTTTTGACTACATGTGTTATGCAGAGTATCCATCTGAACACACGGAACTAACTCATACAATCATACGATACCACGTATTGAAAGAACTCGTCGACGCAACTGCATGGGAATTCTCGAACAGAAGTCCCCTTGACAACTTTTGGGCAGAGTTCGTTAATAAACTCAGCGACGTCGTCAGCAAAGCATCAGAGACTAAACCCTTCGTCCCGCGAATATGCCTTCAATTCTAGGGAGTAGGACTCGCAAATGCCTGGCGATAATGGATGCAGCATGGCGTGCCTACAAGATTAACCCCGACTCAGAGACTTGGGGAAATTTCCTGACCCATCGCAACCATTGCACTGCACTTGTCCGTGAGGACAAAGTAACTTATCAACAGTGCCTAGACAAAAAATTCATGGCAAACAACAAACTGCTATATAGGCATGTCAATAAGCTTCGTAAAGTGAAGCATGGCATCCCTCCACTATTCACGACAGGCGATAGAGTACAAAGTGCCGAAGAAGCAGCTAATGCCCTGCGGCTGCAATACGCCCCAATTTTTGGACTCGCAACATCTACCGGTCCCATAATCTCAAGCACATTACCTACACCTTTGTTTACAAATGTTATTTTCAACCCATCAATTGTGCTAAGGAAGTTACTCTCACTGCCTGGGCATAGTTCTCCAGGCGCAGAAAACATCCGCCCGAAGGCACTGAAGGCTACGGCCACCAAGCTAGCTGAACCACTGTCACAGTTCTTTCAAAGGTGCTTTGATGAACAACAAGTCCCCACTATGTGGAAGTGTGGCATTATAACCCCTATTTTTAAAGGCGGTAGCCGTTCCGATCCTGCAAACTATAGGCCAGTGACTCTCCTCCCTGTGCTCGCGAAGGTGATGGAAGCAGTCGTCGCTGAGGCTTTAATGGACTACCTGGAAAAATGCAACATTTTGGTACCGGAACAGCATGGCTTCCGTCAACACCGGTCATGCACCACCAACGTACTGATTGCACGAGGTAGTTGGACGGAAGTGGCCGATGATGGGGTCGGAGTCGACGTCATCTATCTGGACTTCTCCAAAGCTTTCGACCGCCTTGGTCACCGCATCCTACTTCAAAGACTACAAAGCTACGGAATCGGAGATCCTGTACTTGGTTGGATTGGCAACTTCCTTTACCAACGAAAGCTTCAAGTATGTGTTAGGGGATCACTTTCTAACCCAATTGAGGTGGAATGTGGTGTCCCGCAAGGCTCAGTGCTGGCACCGCGTCTATTCCTGGTGTTTATCAACGACCTGGCAAGAGTCATCTCCTCAAACTTCCTGAATTTCGCCGATGACGTCAAGATATGGCGGGCCATTAGTAACAAGCCAGATCAGGATCTACTCCAGCATGACCTAGATTGCATTTACGAATGGTCAAAGAGGAACAAGCTTCAATTGAACATGGCTAAATGCAAAGTGATGCATCTGCGTCACCAGCCGGTGAGCGCTTACAAGATTGGAGACCACATCTTGGCGAAGGTTTCTCAGGAGCGTGACCTGGGTGTACTGGTGCAGGAAGATCTCGGGTGTTCAAAACAAGCAGAGAAGGCGAGGAGAACCGGAAATCAACACTTCGGTCTTCTTCGCAGAGCCTTCGGTAGGTTTGAACCCTCAATCTTTCCCCAAATGCTTAACGTCTACGTGCGACCTCACGTGATATATGCTATTCAGGTGTGGCAGCTGTGGCAGAAACAGGATCTCGTTGCTCTCGAGACTCCTCAACGACGGGCAACCAAGAACGTCAGGGCCCTCAGTTATCTGCCCTATCAGCTTAGACTGAAATCTCTAAGAATGTACAGCAGTCGATATCGGCTTTTGCGGGGGGATCTCATAATGGTTTACCAGATTCTGAAGAACCCAAACCACATTTGCCGTCCGCTGCTGGAATTGAACCACAACACTAAACTAAGAGGTCACCCTCTGTAACTGACAATTCATTATAGCCGGCTTGAATGCCGTAGAAATTTCTTTTCTCTCCGCCTGTGTGAGCCTTGGAACGCCCTCCCTAATTATGTCGTCTCTGCTCCCAATCTGGCGATGTTTAAAAAACATGTTGACGATGCATTGTCTCACTTACATTTCATTTTATGACTTGTTAGCCAGGGGCTACAAAACGCAATCAAACGGTGTCTTGCCAAATGCCCAACCAATGGATTTATGGATTTATACGTTTAATGCGCGAACATCTCCGCTATTCCACATAAGTCTATGATGAGTCCACCACAACGCTTTTCACTTTATTATGCAATTGGTTTTCGCAATAATTTCCATCCCACGGGACTTGTTAAGCGATGCTTTTGTACCCGTAATAAACCATTGTTCCATTGTTCCATTGGTTGTTGTTGGACGGGACAGGGTGCACGGTCCTTGTGGTCGTAATAGGCTCGAAGGGTGGTTCTATGCACTCAGTGTGGAGCGGACTACGGTCCAGCCACCGCTTTGTGTGCGCTTGATTCCCAAATACAGAGTGCTTGTTTTCGCCTGTGAAGGAGTGTGGGCTGGCTCCGTTGATGAAACGTGGATCCCGTCCGCATGCCTCCCGGTCTTATTCCTTCGGGTTTCCACTGAATATGGGTGTGTGGTTGGAGCTGTGTGTGATGCAGCGCAAGCCATCCTTGGTTCCTCTGTAGGTGCAGGCGTCCTGTGGCTGACTACAGTGACAGGGAAATCCGAAACCGGATGCCGCCTACCATATATGCGGGGACGACAAACTCTGGCGGAGCCTTTAAATAGGCCGTGCCACTGGCACTGAACATCATTTTTACAAGGAGCTTATGAATACATTGATGCGTGTGTCACATCTGTACGCCGTAACGGCGCTTCGCTGCCGCGCGACCACCACCAGTCGCGCGCGGGCTGAGTATACCGCGACGACGCTCACACCTACGCGGATTCGAACCGGTGGCCTTATGGTTGCAAAGCAAGAGCACAGACCACTCGGCCACCGGCCGACATTACATTAGCATTTTCAGAATATTTCAACATTGATATTTGTCAAGCTGTTTCCAAGATCACTCTTGCTGTCCTTCGCGTAATCTTTGAGAAAATTTCAAGCTACTCCGCGAGGGAAGATAGATGGTCCCGGCTGAAAATTTAGTTTGCAATATTGGTTTTAAATCATTTTGTCAGGACCGGTTTAATTATTCCTCTTTTGCACTGATCTTTTACTCAAGTGACACTTCTACACAGTGTCCTTTTATCCTCGGCCTGGGCAACCGGAAAGATCTCTGCCCGCACAACACACTAAGCTTGTAAACCTTTCAAACCTTTCTACTGTCTACCTGTTTTCCCCTTCTTGTTGTTGTTGTTGTTGTTGTTGTTGAGATGATGATGTTGTTGTTAACTATGTGTTGTGACACTGCCAATTGTATATTGGTCAAGTGTTGAATAATAATAATAATAATAATAATAACGCAACTTTTGTTTTCCTCCGTTGTCGATATTATAAAGCGCTGAACATTTACCATCTGGATACACAAAAGCTTACTTTGACTTGACTTGATCCATTTAAATCAAGCGGAGTCTTTTTTCAGAATCACTGTCAACCTAGAAGAGTACAACTGCAAACCGAGTTTACAACTTAGAACAAATTTACTGGGATACCGAAATTTCCACGAGTTTCTCACTACCTGTCTGATAATAGATCCTACCTTTCTAGCTAGCGGAATATGGAACTTCACTGACTAACTGAGGAAAGGTTACAATATCCCCAACTATCTTTGTGTGATCTAGCTGCCGACTAACAACTTACTATCACTTCGCCTCTAGTCTCCAGCTCCATTGAAAGAAGCGCTCACGCAGCCACCACATCCGGATCCCGTGAAACCCATCCATCTGGCCCTCGTCATCCACCGCCTCAGCGTGCTTGATAGAGCCGTCACAATGTTGAAAAGCCTCCTGTACTTCCATGGTCAATTCGATCACAACTCCTCCGTCTGTAATGTCACTTGGGAAACTCCCCGTGACTTGCACTGCAATTCGATTGGACAAGACGCACCCCGTCCACTTGTGTTACATCTGGTTGTGCACCGAAAGGCTTGGAGAAAAACGCGCGCTCTTATGTCTGAATGGAACTCCACTGCACTTACGGTGAAAATGTATCCATTTAAACTGGAACTGGTGAGCTACCTCATCCTCAATGAATTCATTCAATAGGATTCGCGGTGCTTTTACCTAGTATACCAAAAACAGACGGATTTATACTATCCAATTTTCACGTGAAGACTTAGAGAAACAGAAAGCGAGTCCGCACCGAAAATTAAATGATACATACACTGTTAAAGGCAGTGTGAGAGAATCAGCACACTCCTTCAAAGCTAATGGTGAGAGGGCATCCGAACAATAAGCTTTGCTTGCCTTTAATCTTTTGAGTTCCTTGTGGACGTTGTTTTGATCGAAGAGCGCGGCTGGACTTGAGCTAATAAAGGAGGGCAAGGCAGATGAGCTTAGGGTGGCGGAAGTAAACTTCGAATTCAGTTTTTCCACATCCACTTTACCGCTCTGGTTGTAAACGCTCTTACCAAAGCGTTGCCTCAGAAGCCTCCATAGATCACAGCGGTTATAGTTGCCTAGATTTGCTTCGACGTATAATTAGTTTAGCCTGTTTATCTCAGAGTTCATTGCTGTGGTTAGGCTTTTGATACAGGTAGCATTCTCGCACATATAGACCCATTATTTCATCCCTCGAAATCGATTTAGTAGTGGTGATGAAAATCTATCTACTCTTATATCGATGGTTTCAACAGGACAACACATGTCAACGAAATATTTGCTGTCGTCCGTAAGATGGTCGCAATCGAGCAACAGGTCCTCGTCGTTGAAGACGGAAAACTCAGTTAAAGAACACATCGTCTTAGCCTCGTGTTATTTTCCAAGGAGCAACTTCGCTGTTTGATATCATGTAAGGACGTCTGGTCAGCGTTAAGGACCGTGGACAAAATATATTGTACTGAAGCAACCGTGGTTCTGCATAAATGCTTAGGAAGCAACATAGAAGCGTATAACTTGCGAATAGGTGAACGGATTCTTAATTAGTCACAGATACAATTCCATGTGTTCAATTCTAGCAGCCAGCACCCATTCAATTTGGTAATCTGTGGTGCATTAAAACAAAGTGTGCTGATGTCTGAGCTTTGTATGTCGTTGTCAGTAAATAATGAAAAGGTGTATAATAAAGACTGCGAAAAATGTAAAGCAGGCAGTACACTTACTTCAGACTGAATGTGATCAATGGTGCTGATCTGCCCAGTTATCATGAGCACAAATGTTGATAAATAATATTACTTATAAAAAGCTATTAGGAAAGTTAAACCAACGAATTAAGACTGCAAAATAACAGCTACATCGATGAATTTGAAATGCAAAAATACGATATTATCATTTATATTAATATATTAATGTCTAACCTGATCTTGCAAATAGTTTTGATTTAAGCGGCACTAATACGACCCTTCCTGGACAGACAATCCTAAATGGTGCATGGATCCAACAAGTCGTATGCTCCTTTGATATCGAGAAATTTGACTACGTTATGTCACCAATAAATATGACGATGTTGCAACAACTGATTTAATTAAAGATGTGGTCAGTGCGGCGTCGAATTAGACGAAACCCAGTTTGCTCCTAGCGGTTCTGGCTTTCGCGTGTGAGAGTCAGTCTGTGGAAATTGACGGACGCAAGCAATTTGGAGGCAAATGGGATCAGACTACTTCATCAATGATGGCCACAATCAGAAGGTGAACCACCTTGGCAAATTGCGACCAAAATCGAGTGACTCCAGTCTGCTGGGATAGCTTTCTGACCCCAGAGCTTCACTGGTAAGTGGGGCAAATCATCCATGAGAGCTGGTCCCCGAATTCGAAAAGCGAGCGGGGAAGTCGATCTATTCCTCCTGCTTTACTCATTTTCAACTGCCCAATCTCACCTTCGACTGATGAGTGTAAGGACGAATGCACAGTGACGGCTCAGGGAGAAGGCGATAAGTGAAAGGCAAATTATTTCGCAAAGGTAAGAAAATGCACCTCGCACTCCAGTATGCGGAAGACGCCACGCGGCGTCCAATTCCAACTCACAACGCAGCAATCTCCATGTCAGTCCAAGTCAGTGCGCAGCCGTGTCAAAGTAAACAATGGTCTTCAGTAAACCACACACTCGGCGTTGTGATTCATTGATCCCACAAAAGGAACCGCTGTGCCAAAGTTGTTCGACCTTTGTGGGTCATAAGATACTCCCAAGTATCCACCTCGTCTTCTGTCTTTCTCTTGCGCGGCTGGTAGGGACTTGTGTAGGCCATGTGAGTGTACAACAAGCTAGTCGTCCAGGTTAGTGCTCATCGAGTCGTTTGGTTTCGCGGACCTTCCTTGGCACTAATCCACCACATACGAGGATTTCTTCGTTCGTCTGAAATCCATGCTGACTTCTGACCTACTACTGATGTATTACGACCTAACCTTGCCGAATTTTGTCGCGACTGACGCCTCTGCCTATGTGAATGGGGCAGTGCTCTCCTATCGCTTCCAAAATGGTTCCGAAAATGCTGTTAAGCACGTCCTGCGTACACTAACGCCAGCGGGGAAAAAGTACAGTCAGACGGTGAAGGAATCCTTAGCCATCGTGTTTTTCATCACCAAGTTCCACAAATTCTGTACGGCCAGGGTTTCACGTTGTCGACCCATCACAATCCATTAAATATGCTTACAGAGATAGAAACACACAGCTCAACAAAAAATTTGATTAGGATATTTCTAATCAGGCTAATGCATACATAAAATTCTCGCTTAAAAGGTATTTCCTTTGAGTTACTGAACAGAAGACTCCAAAATGCAGTGGCCAAGTCTTTCCCTGCTGCCCATCCGCACGTTATTGCTGAAACTGCCCCGTTTATAACCCAGCGTCTTAAGGATCGACTCCCGGTCCAGTCCGGATCTTTTATCCTCTATGTCAGTTTACTTGCACCTGTGGTGTAAGATACCTCGGACACACAACCAGACGCTTGGCGAATCAGATAGCAGAACATTGCCCTGCAGCGTTATGGAAACGCGCAGTCAAAAGAGCCAACAGTGCTGTTTTGGAACATTTGGTCCAGAGCGAGCACCAGGTCATGACGACAGAGGCATTTAAAGTTTTGTACTTTGTGCCGAAACCTTATCCAAAACAAGTTAAAAGGCGCCTACTCATAATGGCTGAGGCTATTTCGTTCCGGCTGATGCAACCAGACTTACGCAAGCACAGGATGCTAGTTCAAATGCTCCATTTACCATGGCCATAATTTTACTGTGACTCGCCGTCCTACTCGACTTCCGAAAGTGAGGTTTTTGCCCTTCGGATGGCTGAACCGTGGTGCGTTGTATTGTGAACATGTACTGTGAACATGTGTGTATAGAATTGAGCTTAGCTCTTATGATCGATTACAATAGATCGGATACCAAAGCAGCCAGATGGACTTAACCAACACTAGATTTGCCAATTTATACCATCACAATTTTAACCATTTTTATATATGTATTAGCCTGGGGAAAAATATGGCAAAGAAATTTCTTCAATGAGCTGTAAGCTGCGATTGCAGTGGGTTGTCGCTGCAGTGACAGACCACGTGTTCTTAACAGGTAATTTTGTACACTGATAGCTACCACTAGTGCGAAGACATGTCACACGCCGTCCCAACTAAATTAGGCAAAACTGGAGTGCGAAGTGCAGTTTCGTATCTTTGTGAAATGATTTGACATCGTTGCATCAGCTTCCCTTTAAGCTAGGGTCTATCACTCTTGGCAAGGATTTACCTTGATGGATTTTGGTTATCTCCGGATGCTTCCTGTTCGTCGGTAAGGCGTGTTCTCAAGAAGTTGCGGCGTTTGGGAGGCTTCGACCGGTAGCTTTCGTTCTGTAGCAATTCTGAAGGTATCCAACAAAATGTGCACAGGAAGGCTGGCTGGCGTGGGGGGGGGGGGTTCCGTGTCGCAGTCGAAGCTCAATGTGCTGGTGGTGGTGTCATCGCCAACGTATACATCGTGCGGCCTATCACCTCAACGGGCCGTCAGTGTTGCTTCGGTTCATAGTCGATGACCCGCTCGGTAGTCGCAAGTGCATACCTGGGTTCCAAAAACAGACTTATTGTGCTTCGTGAAGACGGTACATTGCACCGGTGGCTTTTCGTTCAAGATGTGCGCTTCGTGGGTGGTGCATGACTTGCGACCCATCAATGCTTCAGCTGGGGATTGGCATCCCGGAACGGCTGGAGTTGGTGTGCATCGATGAGAAAGTACGAAAGCTTGAAGACATTCGCCAAAGAAGAGCTACCGAGAAGAAGGTGTCAACAAACCTCTCCGCTTCACCATTTGACTGCGGATCGTAGTGCGGTGAGCGTACGTGTTGAATGCAATGGTACTGACAGATGTCTACGAACATGGTAGAGGTAGAATGGAAGCCATTTGCAGACATCAAGACCTCGGGTAGTCCATGATGACTGAAGATTCGTCTTAGACAAACCAGTGTGGCGGATGCAGTTGTTTCTTTGATGGTGACCACTTCAAGCCATTGGAGTGGGCGTCGACCACCACCAGGTAAGTGATGCCATTGATCGGACCAGCATAATCTATGTGCACTCGAGACCAAGCATTTTCTGTCAGTTGCCAAGGAATCGGGGATAATTGTAGTGGCATCTTGGATGCCTGTTGAAATATTGAGCAACGGCGAAGCAAATCTCCATTATGGTTGTCATTGCCGAGCCAGTACAAATAAGTGCAGGCGATTACATTCATTCTGGTCCTACCGGGGTGAGCAGAATGCAGTTAGCGGAGTACGGCTTGCCGGAGACACGAAGGAACGACGACTTGATCGACAGTCGTGAGGCAAGAATTGACTGTGGAAAAAGTATCGCGGCGCTGATACGCTTGTTTGAGTTCTCCAGATAGGATAGTGTTTGGTCAGTGCGTCTGAACATTTTGCAGAATTGGGTCTTGTGCAGTTGCACGACCTATGTCTGTGGCAGAAATGGGGAGAGTTTGGGTAGCGCCCGAGAGCTGATGACGAACTTCTTCCTCGACGGGAACAGCGGCGATCACTTGGTCATTATCTGTGTATTTGGAAATGAGGCGGGAGAGTCGGGCAGCTGGGCAGAAACC